AATATTAACACATCCGTTTTTCTCTACGTTCCCAAATCTGCGCAGGCTCGCGGACGCGTCGCGCACGACGGGCAATGCCCGACGATGGGCGTTGATCGCGATAATTTTACTGACATCGGTGAGGAATGGGTAGCGTGCTACGGACAATACTCCGTGACAAGCAAATTCGTGCAGAGCGATCGACGCGAGGGGGATACTTTGCAAAATTTTTCGTATATCTCCAATTCACGACGATCGCACCAAATGTGCCTCGTGCACTGAGCACGTACGCTGTTCAGATTATTCAAAGCTATGATCCGTTCGAACGTGGGCACCGTGTCGCGACGACCATTAGCATTGCTCCTGTTACTGTTGCCACCGTCGAAGAGCAACGACCATCGTTTGTGAATCATTTCCACCGTTTCTCGCAATTCCGCGGACGATATCGTGAAGGAGAACGACGCCGAATTCAGACGTGGTTTGTAATCGTGACACGTTTGACAATAATACGCGAATTTGGTTTCTGCGTTGCCGATGTTGCCGTAGCCGTCGTTGCTGCTGTCATTCGGAATAATGTTCACTGGACACAACGGAACACCGTTGACAATTTTAACATTTACAAAATAGGTTGCGACGAGTGGTGTTGCAGCTGCTGCTGCTGCTGGTGGTGGTGATAATGATGTCTACCGTATAGGCGGGATACAACATTTTAATAGCGAGAAAAAAATACCAGAAATAAAATGTGTTGGATTCCTTCCCTAATGTTGAAAGGACGTGGCATGACGAGAAGGCGGTGTGAACGAAACATATGGGAATCTCATTAACCATTAAAACTACCTTGTCGCTCGTCGTAGACGCAGCAGCGAAGGCTGCGGGTGATACGGTATTATTGTAGAATTTAACGAATTCTGTCATATGCGCTACATTCAATTCGACGTCGGAGAAAAAAGATTCTCTCATGGTGTTACATTTGTTCATCGTTTTACCGGCGTTGCTGATGTTACCACTGTCGAAGAAGCTAAAGAAACGATCCGAGTTTGTGGGCATCTGAAGGCACTTGGTGGCATTCAAATTCACCACTCGCATTCTCTTCACCAACTCGTGGTCGTATTCAACGTCGTCGTGAATCTTTCCACATAGAAATTGTTGTTTCGCATTCTGATCGAACGTAACGTCCGGAGCTTTGTAGATACGGCAATCGTCCTCCGTATCCGACGTTTTCGTAGTACTGGACGACTCGTTGTTTTTTGTATTGCCACCGTTAATTCTGCCGCCGCTGATATTGCGATACGGAGCGACGTATTCTCTGGATCTTCCCAAACGTATCTCTATCTTCAAGTGGCGTTTCATACTTTTGCTCGAGTCGTGGCGGATATGTGCCTTTCTACTGATGAACGACAGAAGATTCGTTCGATGGGACATCGTGGCGTATTGAACGATCGTGTTTCTAATTAGATCCTTCGCCATCGTCGCTTCTCTCGCGTCGCGCGCAACATCGCGTTCGGCCTCGAACCGAGAGGTGAGATCGCGTGTCAATGCGTTCAACAGGCTGCCGTACAAAATTGGAGCGGATCGATATCTTTTTGTTCGTAATATCGTCTATTTCACGATTGAACGACAGTTCACTGCCGTCGCAGCTGTGCGTCGCCATCGACGACATATACTTGTGACAGGTTTGTAGAAAAACATCCCAGCAAACCAATACGTAACTGTAATATAACTAAGGGAGCACATGGAAAGAACAATGATATATTTTATAGTTATAGAGATGATATGTAAATGCAATATAATTTTGAGGGCACTTTAGAAGAACAAAGATATATTTCTTTGTTACGTATATAATACATAACAATTACTTAAAAATGTAATGGAACTCAACGTAA